AACAACATGATGAACATAATTAATGTGATTGAAGTATACATGTGAAGATAGCTGAAATGTCAAATGTTTTGTTACATATATATTTACCACAATAAAAAACAAAACAAAGGAATGGGAATGAGAAGAAAAGGAACAAACAACAAGGGAACCTAATCTTGATTGGGAAGAGAGGGTACATTTCCCTAAGGAAGTGAGGCTTGAGCTGAAATCCAAAGGATATGATGTCTCAAAGGCACCTCATCTTCAACAGGCTAAAGGTCAAAGAGTACCCTAAACCTGGCACTCTTCCTACCTCAGTCAATGGTATTGTTATATAGGTTAGAAATCTAGGAGTCATTCATATTTTCCTCCCAAACCATCCATAAGAATCAGGTAAAGGGAAAAGCATTCCAGGCAGGAGGAACAACATATGTAATGTTCCTATGTTGAAAGAGCATGGTGTATTCTGGAAACTAAAGACCAATTACTTTGGCATAGAAGATGAAAGAACTAGATCATGAAGAGCCATGTAAGCCATTTTAAGGATTTTGTTCTTTATCCTAAGTCCTAAGAATAATGGAAGCCATTAACAAGTCTGAAACAATCGGATTTAGGTTTTGAAAGAGCATTCTAACTGTAGAATGGAGAAGAGATTTGAGAAGGACTAGAACACAGAGATCAAAAAAAGGATGGTGTGCATTCCCAAGGCCAACTCTCCAAAGATTAGACTGGACTATGGGACACAAAATGATACTTGTGAAGAGTGTGCCTCTTAGCTCAAGTAGATACATGAGACTAAGTGGGCAGCTCCTATCTGGAGATGAGATGAGAAGGCAGACAGGGTCAGGAGCTGGCTGAACGGGCATGGGAAATCAAGGGTGGAAAGGTGGAGTGTGCTGTCAGAGTATAGGGTGAGCAATTAGGGTCACATAACAATGTATGTATAAATTTTTGTATGACAGACTAACTTTAATTATAAACTTTCACTTAAAGTACAACAATGAAATTTAAAAAAAGGATGGTGTAGCCATCCAGGTTGAGAAAGGGTGGTATTTGGAATAGGGTGGCAACAGTGGACATGGAGAGAAGTGAATGCTTCCAGTAAAAAGATTAAGCCAACAGGAACTGGTGATAGTGATGGGAATTCTCTCCTAGTTTAAATGTTGTTAGGAATGACCTAGTTGAAAGGGAATGGTTGATTATACAGGAGAGAAAACAGAGATAACTGAGAGGGTTATATAATAGACAGTACTGCCCTTAGACCTGGTAAGGGCCCCTGTCTGTTCTGGCCCTCCTCCTGTTGCAAGGAGCAAGGAGACCATGGGGTCATGCCTGCCTGGAGCCAGCACTGTTCTTTTAGACTGGCTAGATCTGTGGGGCTCATCTTCCCCCTACTTTAATGACTAAGGTACACCTGACCTAAGCCATTATTTTCACTTGCCTTATATGCATGTGAAAGCTGCACAATGAAAAAGATGGAATAATTGATGCATTCAAATTGTGGTGTTGGAAAAGAATATTGAATATACCATGGACTGCTAGAAGAATGAACAAATCAGTCTTGCAGGAAAGTACAGCCAGAGTGCTCTTGGAAGCGAGGATGGTGAGACTGTCTTACTCCCTTTGGACACATCACAGGAGGACCAATCACTGGAGAAGGACATCATGCTTAGTAAAGTAGAGGGTTACTGAAAAAGAGGGAGACACTCAATGAGATAGATTGACACAGTGGCTGCAACAATGAGCTCCAACACAACAACTGTGAGGATGGTACAAGACTGGGCAATGTTTTCTTCTATTGTACATGGGGTCACTGTGAGTTGGAACTGACTCAACAGCAACTAATGACAGATCTGAGGGCAGACTGAGCTGCAGACTGCATGTCCCTATTTGCAGGGGTGAGCCCTGGTGGCACAGTGGTTAAGAGCTTGGCTGCTAACCAAAAGGTTCACATTTTGAATCTACCAGCTGCTCCTTGGAAACCCGATAGGGCAGTTCTACTCTGTCCTTTAGGGTTGCTATGAGTTGGAACTGACTCTTTGGCAACGAGTTTAATTTATTTGCAGGGGAGGGGCCCTGGCGGCTCAACGGTTAATTGCTCAGTGGCTACCGTTCGAACCCACCAGCCTCTTCTCATGAGAAAAGACCTGGAAATCTGCTCCTGTAAAGATTTTACCCTAGAAAACCCTATGGAGCAGTTGTGCTCTATTCTATAGGGTTGGTAGGTGTCAGAATCAACTCAACAGCACACAACAAAAACGATTTGCAGGGGGGCAGGATCAGTGGACAGAAGCTTGGACTTATGGGCTGCCCTCACATATGCATGCTTGGACCGTCTTGGCACGGTGCATCAAGAACATGGGGGTAAGAAAAGAAAGAGCTCAGCCTAGGGACTCTGAGGAGGTGTGAGAATTCTAAATTTAAACTTGGCCTTCCAGAGCATTAAGAAGTGGATTTGTCAGGGAAGCAGAATAAAACATATTTTATATAATAGTTTGTTATCTTGATTTATAACTTAAATATTTAGACACCCCCAAGATTATGGTCCCCGGACACCCTGCTAACTCAAAACAGAAGCCACTCCTAAAGTCCACCTTTCAGCCAAAGATTAGACAGGCCTATAAAGCAAACAATAACACACGTGAAGAACATGCTTCTTAGTTCAAGCAAGTATACAGGACCAAATGGGCAACACCTGCCCAAGAGCAAAGAGGAGAAGGCAGCAAGGGACAGGAAAACTGGAGAAATGGACATGGGGAATCTGGGGTGTAAAAGGAAAGGGGGAGAGCGCTGACACACTGCAGGGATTGCAACCAATGTTACAAAACAATTTGTGTATAAATTTTTGAATGAGGAACTAATTTGCGCTGTAAACTTTCACCTAAAGCACAATTAAAAAAAACAAAATTTAGACAGATGGTATGTGGGCCTCCATAGCCACACTCTTGCCCAGGCTCTGCAACTTTAAGGCTGGGCCTGGTAACAGTGTACGATAGTGTAATAGAGTATAGCTCAAGGAATAATAAATTTACAAAGAGCAGAGCACACTTTATCTGGGCCCTTAAAGAAGTCAGATTTCCCAGACTTCTGTGTGGGAGATGTGGGAATAAATGGTGCATGTTTCAAGGTACTATATTAATGAATATAAATTCTACATCTGACAGAGATAAAAGATTATATGGAGAGGTTAACAATTAAGAACTATTTTAACTGTCAAGGTTTCAGTGTGATTTTTTAAAAGCTTCTTGAATATGGCAGAAAGGACCTTAGTTATCATGTACTCAAATCTATTCACTTAATAGATGAGAAAACAGAGGTCCTGACAGGTAAAGCTTAGGTCACAAATCTAGTGAGTAGCACGCAATTTCCAGCCCTGTGCTCTTTCCATTCTTCCAATACTACCTTTCATGAAGACATCTGCTGCCAGTAAATTCCAATTACAAAGTTTTCACGGTTATGTATTAAAAGAAGTAAATACTTTCATTACCTTAAAATTTTAAGGCACCTAAAAATAAGTCAGTCTATAAACCAATATTAACACTTTGACTCCAAAAAATTCTAAACACACACACAAAATGAGAAAACAAAATAAAGAATTCCAACTTCTTGAAGTCTTCAAGAATGGGTATTCTTGAAAGGTTACTTTTAACTGTTCCCAGAAAGCTACAGGCAACTTAGGGTTCCTTAAAAACAAACAAACAAACCAAAAAACCCAAACCGATTGCCGTCGAGTCGATTCCAACTCATAGCGACCCTTTTAGGACTCATAAGATATCCTCTTACTGGTCATCTCCTGACTGGGGTACTTTTATTCTTACATCCATGCCTTTGGACGTTCTGATTTCATGTGAGACCTTAGAATTAAATTAAGATCGTGTTCCTTCATGTTTGTTATCTTGATTGCGGTAATGGTTTCATCGGTGCATACTTACGTCAAACTTACCAAATTGTACACTTTAAATACATGCAATTTATTGTATATCAATTATACCTCAGTAAATGTATTAAGGCATTAAAAAAACGTGTTCCCCGCCATGGTAACACATATTACTGTAACCTGTCTCCCCAAATTCCTTATTTCTATGCTAAAAATCAAAATAGAAAGCACACAAAACACTGAACGGTCAGGGAGCTAAATAAACACTAAAACAGAGAAATTTGTCAAAAGTCTTGTTTTTCAAAAACCTGTAAATGTCGCTGGCGGATTTTTCTTGGAGAGGCGCAGTTATAACAAGTAAAATAATGTTAAATTTAATTATATTAAAACGTTCGTGCTAGTAAAGGTCTCCAATTACAAGTTAAAAAAATTCTCCAAACACAAGGAAAGTCTTACCTTCAAGTTCGGAAGCAATCCGAAAGTTCTAGGCTTGAAGGAATATATCTCCCTCAAAACATTAGCGTTGACGATTTTAACAATAATGTTCCTTGTTACCGCACCAAGTGGACTTTTAACAACAATAATGTTCCTTGTTACCGCACCAAGTGGATTTTTAACAACAATAATGTTCCTTGTTACCGCACCAAGTGGATTTTTAACCCCTCCTTTCAATCAGCCACTGCCTAAGGAAGGATTTAATTCCCGGCACAATTTTCTCCAAGCTGAGCATCCCGGAAATCCGGCTTTCAGAGAGCGCAAAGGACCAAACGGGTCACTAAGAAAAGGAAAAGAGGTAGAAGTAAGACAAAGTCGTCGAGGCAGAGACGAGAGCGACATGGGCATGGTGGATTTTGGGTCCGAAGTGGCGGGTTCTTCCCGCATTCCCACCGGGCACCCGAGTTCCCGCTGGCAACATGTGGAAGACCCTCCCTTGGTAGTTTGCTCAGCCACTCGCCGCGCCCCGCGGAGCGCTGACCTCCAAAGCGGGTCCGCCGGGCGATCCCGCCCCTCGGCTCCATATTCGTGCCTTTGGTTCCTAGAGCGATCTCTCAGTGTGGCTCGCCCAATCGAGGGCCTGGCCGGTGGCCCTGCAGCCCCGCCCCTTCCCCACCCCTCGCGGAGGGCCCGCCCCTGCCCAGCGCCCGGGAGCGGAGGAGAGTAAATACAACAGGAGCGCAAAATGGCGGAGCCAGCGAGTCCAGTGCGCGGCACCGCGGCTGCCTCCACTGCCGCCGTCTCGGAGAAAGAACCGTTTGGCAAGCTGCACTCCCTCTCCGGGGATCCACCGGGCTCTCTGTCCGCCAAAAAGGTCCGGACTGAGGAGAAAAAGGCACCGCGGAGAGTGAACGGAGAAGGGGGCAGCGGTGGGAACAGCAGGCAGCTGCAGCCGCCGCCGGCAGCGGTACCTTCGCCTCAGAGCTATGGGAGCCCCGCGTCTTGGAGCTTCACCGCTCTGTCGGCTGCTCCTTCCCCGTCTTCCTCTTCTCGGAGCAGTTTCTCTTTCTCTGTTGGCTCGGCCGCCCCTTCCTCAGCCTCCGCTTCCTCGTCTCAGCCGCTGCCGCGCAAACTCCTGGTCCCTCCTACATTGCTGCACGCTCAGCCTCACCATCTCCTGCTGCCGGCCGCCGCCTCCTCGGCCAACGCCAAGCCACGCAGACCCAAGGAGAAGCGGGAGAAGGAGAGGCGGAGGCACGGCCTCGGCGGGGCGGCCGAGGCCGTCGGGGCCGCCCGGGAGGAAAATGGGGAGGTGAAGCCGCTGCAGCGAGGTGGGTTCCTGCGCCAGCGGGGGAGGGGAGGGCGCCCCGGCCCGCCACCGCCCCTCGCGCTCCCCGCAGCTCCCTCGCGCCCGGCAGGGCCCTGGAAGGGGGAGCGCGGGGGCCGCGGGCGCCGGCCAGGAGGGGGCGGGTGGCGTCCCGTTCTCAGCAGGCGATTTTGCAGTCCCCTTGGGGACAGGAAATGGAGCCTGTAATTTCGGTCGCCGAGAGGGGAATGGCCGAAACTCTTATTTTCTATATCGTTTCTGCCTCTCGGCTAATGTGCTGCAGAATTTGTAGAATTCGGTCTGGAGGACCCGCCTAGGTGTGTTTGGCTAAGGAGAGAGTGGGGAGAATGGCATGGGGGAAGAGTTTGGTCTTGTAAAAGATGCTCGATTATTAGGTTGTTCAGACGTGATCACGGGAATTCATATTTGTGACACTGCCTGCAACACCAGAAAATCTGTCAAAAAAGGGGTGTGGAGAGCATTGGCGTCAGCTGGAAACTACCAGAGGCCTGAGCTTTTCATCCCTATTAGGGAAATGAGGTAGTGTGCAGGGCCGTAAGTGTGTTGTTTCATAAGGTACCCTCCTCTCCGCTCTGTATTCTTAATTTTTAAGTATTTTGAGTAGTTGTGTTTGAAATACAGCCTTTAGAAAGAATTTTCAGCCATGTTCTTTTTTCTGCGGCAAATGAGAAAATCAGGAGCATTGACATATTTTGGCCAGATCAAGTGGCTAAAAATGTTTTAGCGTCAGAAAAAGGCAAATTCTTAAGCTTCCTTTTTCAGACAGGGTTGTTTTCGTTTCAAATTTAGGTTAGTCTTATTTTCAGAAAGTATTTCTTTAAAATAGGTGGTATGGATACACAATGATCTGACAGTGATACAGCATGGAGACTGGTTGAAAATGAGATCTTTATGTGATCAAACCTTAAAGCTCATAATGATCTTTATTATAAATATACACTGCATCGTTTTGTCAAATAAAGACTTTTTTGCTTCATGGGAAAAAATGAAATATTAAGCAGTTTTAGCATTGCTGCTCTAAAGGTAGCTTTGATCAGGAGAAATTCCCTGTATATTTGAATTGGAATGGTTTGTTTTTCAGTTTTTTTAAACGCTCTCGAGTGTGTATCAACAGTTAACTTCTTCCTTGATGTTTTGTCTGCAACAAAGCTTTGACATCTAAGCGTAGCCATCAGATACTCCGGTCCAACTGTGATCTCTCAGCTTTGGAGAGTTGTTTCTAGGAAAGTGGTTTTGAGGATGGAATTTATACTACTTTTACTCAGGAATTTGAGGTGGTTAGTATTTCAAAGCTATTTTGTTTTAATTACATGTAAAATGTAAAAGTGATAAGTGTCTGTAAGTCTGTCCATAAACAGCTCAGTATCAGTGTTGTTATTTGTGGTGTGTAAACATCATACTTATGTTTCATAAGCTCTTTGAGGATATAACATTGTTATTGAGACCAGACAGTATTGGAATGGCTGAAAATAAATAAATAAGCATTTTTTAAAATTCTAACTTAGAATACGGAGTACAGAAATGACCCTTTAAGTGAAATGGCTGTTAAGAGAAATTTTTATAGTCTTTTAAATTATATTTAGAAGACCCCTTTTGAGGGTTACTTCATACATTGTCAATTCTGAATACAAGCAATGTGTTTTCATTTAAGATGCTTATCTCTGGATTTATGTGGGGAAGACATTTATTGATGTCCTATGTGGGTCTTTTTGTTTTTTGTTTTTCAGTAGTGACTGGATATTAACACTATTGTGAGATTTTCATTTTTTGACAGAAATGCTGCTATTTAATTGAGGAAAAACTAAAAATCAAAGAAAAGGATGGCTTTTCATTGTTTTGATGGTAAACTTTATGGTGAAAATCTTTCCCTCTTAATTTGTAAAGTACTCATGTTCTTCTAAAGCTCAGGTTTAACTGAATTGAAGTTCTGTAGTAATCAAGAAGATTTTTTAACAAACAATTGTAATAAAATAGTATTACATACATGCGTTGACTATAGCACAGTTACAAATATGAAAGTCCTCGTTTGTAATACAGTTCTCATTTCTGTGGGGTTTTTGTAGACATATTAGTGAATAGATGATCAAGTATCTGTTTTAGGTATATACCTTTTTTAGTGTTCTAAGTTGACTGTACATAGGATAGTACAGCAACCCCTCAATTATCCACAGCGCATTGATTGAACAGTCTGAGGCAGAACTGGAAGTTAGCTATAAAGACACCTAAGCAAAGAAAATAGTTCCTACTCCCCTCAAAAAACAAACAAAGAACACCCAAAAGACCCAGTCTCCCAACTGTGGTTATTAAAGGTCTTGTATTTCTTTATAGTAGGTTGTTTTTTTGTTTTGTTTTAAGCCCTTTGTCATACTGCTTTATTTCCACACTAGTGGATGTTCTAACAGGATTGTTTGGATTAAATGAGAGTATGCATATGAAAGGGCCTGTCGGCATTTAGTAAACGTTCTTTACTTCTAAAGTATAATGTTTTTTTGTTTGTTTTAACCCCATAACAGATTAAGAGATGCGTCAATCCTGATAGAGGAAGGATTATTAACAGTAGATTTGAAAGTTAAGGGTGAGAATTATAAAAGCATAGTAGTCTGGGCCCGTTTAGTATAAGGGTTAAAGCCTTACGCATGTAAAACCTCTGAAGCCATCTAGACATAGTTGTGTAGCTGACTTGCATTAATAAGCCTGAGTCATCAAGGGAAAGTTAAATTGTATTTCTTATAAAAAGAAAATGTGCAAAACAGTTTAGATTTTTTAAAATAAGAAATAACCAGGTTATTTGTAGCGGTATAGTCTATAGAAGAGTTCACAACCATTTTTCTTTTTCTTTAAGCCTGGATAAATTATTGAGTTGGTAAATGTGGAAATTAAAAGTAGACATGTACTGAAGGTATCCAATATTATATTATGGCAAACAACAAAACAAACATTGCATTAAATATTAAAATACCTTAACTGATTCCAGTAACTAATAAGATTTGTACAGTTTTTCTAATTTTTGTTAGTTTTCTTTTGCCTTACATTTATTTACATTTATTAACATTTTTTTCCATGGAATGTCTCTGTGAAGTGTCCCAAGACAAAAACAGAGCATTTTCACTGAATTTTTTCCTTGCAAGTATAGTTAACGAATTTAATGAAGATAAGAGACTTCTCTTAGAATTGAATAATTTTTTTTAATGTGGTAGAATTACATATAACAAAACATTGCCATTTCAATATTTTTTACATGTACAATTCAGTGACATTAATTACGTTCATCATGCTGTACAACCATCATCACTGTCTTTTTCCAACTTTATTTCCATCACCCTGAACAGAAAATGCCCCTTCCCTCAATGCAGCAACTCCCCCTTCCCTCCTGCCCGTGGTAACCACTGTTAAACTGATCTCTATACATTTGCCTAAGAATTGAATAATTTGAGGTTTGTAAATATAGTGCTTTTAAAGTGTTTGAATCTGAGGATTTTTCAAACTACCCTTTCTCCTATCATTCTGATACTGTTATTCCACTATTTTAGGTTAAATTCATATCCAGAGTTTTCATCATTATAAGCAAGTAAATATTTGTTCCTGCTGAGACAGTAGTTTACTTTTATTTTCTTGCATGACTTTTTTTTTTTCCCCCATGGCTTATTTTTTCATTTGCTTAGTTTTCTCTGAGTTTCTGGCCAAGCCTTTCCATACCCTCCAGCAGCCATAAAGTGTTTCTCAGTACAATTTTCCACATGGTCAAATCTGTCACATAAACTTACCAGTTCCATTTGTTCCTGTAGACATCCCTTCTGAAGCTGCCCCCCTTCCTGCTTCAGTCTGGATTGTTTCCTCTTTAGGCCTGCTCCATAACTATCATCTTGGGACTTCCTTTAGCTGATATTCTAGGAATTTCCTTCACTTTTGTTGAATCCTCTTTTTCTGGATCCCATGCCTTCCATTTGGTTTATTTCCTCATTTTGGTTTCCTTAAATAACTTCTGTGAAAGAGTGCGTGGAAAGTGTGTGTGTGTGTGTGTGTGTGTGTGTGTGTGTGTGTATACGTATGTATATATACATATATATATTTATTGTGCTTTAGGTGAAAGTTTACAGCTCACGTTAGTTTCTCATACAGAAATTTCTACACACATTGTTATGTGACCCTAGTTGCTATCCCTGTAATGTTACTGCACATTTCTCCTTTCCACCCCGGATTTCCCATGTCCATTCAACCAGCTCCTATGCTTTTCTGCCTTCTCATCTCACCTGCAGACAGGAGCTGCCCATTTAGTCTTGTATATCTATTTGAACTAAGAAGAAGCACACTCTTCACGAGTATCATTTTATGTCTTATAGTCCAGTCTATTTGAAGAGTTGGCTTTGGGAATGGTTTTAGTTCTGGGTTAACAGAGTCTGGGTGGGGGGTGGGGGCAGAATGTATTTTTTGATATTTTATTTTTATCTTCATACTTGTCTGTTTGGCTGTTGAGAGATTTCTGTATTGGAAATCGTTTTCCCTCAAAAGTTTGAGGACATAGTTGAGAAATCTGATCTCCAAAACATTGTCTTTTGTTCTGCTATCTGGGAGATTTTAATCCTTTCACTGAATTTTAAAATTTCAGCTATCTGTCTCTCTTTTTTAATTTTTATGAGCTCTTGTTCTTTGTTTCTGTATTCCATCTTGTTCCTTTTTCATGCGTGCAGCATCTTCTATTATCTCTTCAAGGATATTAATTATAATTTCTTTGACAAATTCTTCCTGTGTTGTTTCGACTCCTCTTTTTTTTTTTTTCTGTTTGTTTTGGTCTCTTTCTTTCGTGTTGGAGCTTTCTGCAGATATATGTGATCCTTAGCATTTCCTTCATATTTAAGAGAAAGTTACTAAAGCTGATCGAAAGCCCCTTGGGCATGCATGAGCAAGGCTCCGTGACTGATGGACTCCAATGTTGCTATCTTTATTTTTTCTGGGTAGTGGGTAGGAAGGCTTTCAGTTTCTTCA